TCACTGCAAATAAGTGGTCTCCACTGGGAGAATTTATCAGTCCATTTCCTACATATGATACCTAAAGAACAGGCTGTTAAGAATCAGTCATGGTAATATTGTTAGGAAGTGCATCTGTCTTGATTTTGTTATAATCTGCTTAATCAGAACTATCCCAAACTGCTTGTAGTAACCTTCGGTTTAGGCGGGGGACTCTGCCAGTTCAGTTCAGTTTTTGGAGAACCCTGACTACCTATTCAACAGGTGCCAGCTGTTGCTGAGCAAATTTGCTTCCAGCCTCTCTAGCTATTAAAATGGTTATTCTCTTGGTTTGTTTTACATATCGTTTAAGATTAGTTTATGTAGATACTGTCTTATAGTAAGAACATTTTATACAAGAAGGTGTATACTTAGTGAAATTTTAAAAGTCTCTTCTATTAATGGGATGGTGTTTGGACACTCTTATACTAGTTTTTGTAATACTCCCAGAAGACTAAAGAAAGATTCATTAACTTTCTTAAAGTAGATTCATTAACTTTCTTAAAGTAAACAGTATGGCCATGAGCTCGAGTCATTGCTAAATTGAGTTGGTGACGGTTTCTTTGTACTATTTTATGATCCTCGGGCTAATTTTTACTATCAGCTCTACCAAGCAGCATGGCAAGGTGGAAAGAATTTATGTTTTAAATTTGGTTATGATTTAAATCTGCTTATATTTGGGATCTCTTGTTTACTACCGTCATAGCTAGGGGAGAATTATTTAGCTTTTCTCAGTTCTAGCTACTTGATTGTGAAGACTTGAAATAAAGTATTATGACCCCTTAGTAAAGTGCTTGGTATTAGAAAGTGAATAGGAAGACTCTAGTATGTGTTTAGTGGACAATAAATGTTTAATAAATGGTGGTGGTGATTATTATACTGATTTAATTCCTTGTATATTTTGATATTATCTTTTTTATTCTGTATTTTAAAAACCATATAATATAATTATGGCTTGTCTCTTTGACAGTGAGAAAGGATTGTGTTTTCAGGATAACTTGAATCTAGAAGCATTTTAAAGGAAATCATTCAATAAAGACTTTTGAGTTTTAGAGATACACATTTATCAGAAATTGGGACAACAGTACTTGGAATGAAATTGACTTTTAACTAGAAACATCATTGTTGTATATGAAGTTGTTATAATCTAATTGAGTAAAAATCTCTGATGGGAATTTTTTTTTTCCTGGACAGACTATTTCAGCATCGTTAAGTTGTCTTTCCTGTTACCAAACATAAATTCAAAATGTAAAGCTAAGTTTTCAAAATATCTTTTATGCTTAGTTATCTCTCTGAGACCTGATTGGAGTTTTATTGTTAGGTTTTTCAGGGAAGACTGGTGTAATGCTATTTAGCTTTAGAGCAGGGATGGGGAACTTTTATTCTGCCAAGGACCATTTGGATTTATAGCATCATTCACAGGCGATAGAAAATTATCAACTTAAAAATTAGCCTGCTATAGATTTATTGAACCCTGAGTTTCGTCTGTGGTTGCCTTGGCAGGGCCAGACCAAATGATTTTCCAGGCCTTACTGGCGCTTGGACTGGATGTTCCCCACCCTTGCCTTCAAGTAAACTTTTTGAAAAACAATAGGTTGGTTTTTAGTTCTCTTGGCTGGATTAGTTATGAAGGATTTGGTTGGTAGCCTTGCATTTGTGATATCACTTCCTAGAACAAATCTGTAAAGAGTATTGAACAGGTGGCAGCAGGTTTCCTTTGCCTCTGAGATCTTAGAAGCACTGATGGAAGTTCATGAAAGTGCTAGGATTAGGAAACCATTCTCCCTGAATCCAAGCCAGCTGAATTGTGCAGGATGTAACAGGTAAAAGTGTTCTAGTGAGTAAATTGCTGTGCTTAGATTTTCTTGAGGATGGACTCATCTGATGTTTAAATCTCAGTGATGTCTTTAATTTTCTAATGTTTTAAATGTGTTTAATATCAGTATTAGTGATTCACATTTATTGATATGTTTTTATTTCTCTTCTTCCTTTTCCTTCTTCCTAAGAACCATCTCTAGCTCAGGCAATGAGAGAAGTAAGCGTTATACTTAGCTTTTCTGATTTCAGCTGCTCCTTTTTACGGTTTTTATTTAGTTTGCTTCTTTGACATTTATTTGCAGATTGATGTTAGGCTTTCCATTTAGAACACACAGATACTGCTTTTAATCAAAGAAAAGGAGCTTGTGTGATAGAAATTTGACAAGGGATATGAACAGGCAACTCAAAAGAAATACTACAGATTGTGCCCTTGTCCCTCAGTATCTATTAGTAGGGGATTGGTTCCAGGATCCCTGTGGATACCAGAATTCCAGAATGCTCAAATCCCTTATCTAAATGGTGTTTGCATGTTAGCCATGCACATCCCTCTGTATATTTTTAAATCATCTCTAGAGTATTTATATTGCCTAATACAATGTATTTGCTATGTAAATAGTTGTTATACTGTATTATATAGGGAATAATGACAAGAAATTAAGCCTTATACATGTTGAGTACTGAGCAGATTTTTTTCTTTGAAAATTTTCTATCCATATTTGGTTGAATCCAGTGATGTGGAACCTTTGGCTATGGAGGACCAGTTGTATACTAACTTACTTAATCAATAACTCTGTAAGTAATTACTAACAGCCTGATTTTATAGGTCAGGTAACTGGGGATAGAGGTTAAGTAACTCTGCATACTTGTTACTTACAGCTATGTATAAAGCTAGGATTCAAACCCAGGGAGGCTAGGTATGTGTTTCTGATCAAATATTTGGTAACAATTTGCCTCAAGCAAAACAAGTTCAGGAGTATGTCCTTTTATTAAATTGGCACATAATTTAAAGGGCATGAAGTTTGGTAGGAGGTTATTTGTATTGAGACCATCAGTTGAAAAGCAGTAGAGCACTCATCATGTGTCTTGAAATATTTTCTTCTTTGGTCATTCTGTATTAAGGATATTCGCCAATTATAATAATTATGATAGTGGCAAAAATGGGAGCTTGTCCAGTGCTATGGAACACTTAAATTATATTTTCTTCAGTGTGAAGAATATTATGTAAACACTATAAATTGTTTTTGAAGAATAATTGGGAATGGACATATAAAATATTTAAAATAAGTGAAAAAGCAGGATATAAGCCCATGCAATATAGTTCTAACTTAAAAAAAATAAATATTTGCATAGAAAACCAGGAAGAATTACAGTAAGATACTAATGAGTATTTGTGGTGTCATTGTGTAGTATTCTTGTACCTTTGACATGGGTTGTGTGGTACTTTTCAGAGGAAACCATGTGGCAAATAGGGAAAAATGATGCCAATACCAGGTTTCATGAGAAATATTCATTAAAGCTTAAATTTGCATAGTTCACATTATAAAAGATAAGTTACTGAATTTCACTAGTTTGAGTATTATTTTTGGAACTTTTTAAAATGGATTGTGTTTTATTTGGATTAAATAGAAATGGTTTTTTCTTTTTATAAATTTTAATCCATTTACATTTAGGGTAAATATTGATAGGTAAAGTCTTTTTTTTTTTTTTAAAGATTTTTTTAATTTGAAAGGCAGAGTTACAGAGAGGCAGAGGCAGAAAGAGAGAGAGAGGTCTTCCATCTGCTGATTCACTCCCCAAATGGCCACAATGGCCAGAACTGGGCCGATCTGGATCCAGGAGCTTCTTCCAGGTCTCCTGTGCGGGTGCAGGGGACCATTGACTTGGGCCATCTTCCACTGCTTTCCCAGGCCATAGCAGAGAGCTGGATGGGAAGTGGAGCAGCTGGGACTTGAACTGGTGCCACAGCACCAGCACTGTTGTTGTTGTTGTTGTTTTCTTTCCTTAAGTGGGATCATTCTAGTGATTATTTTAACACTTCAAGCGTGTTTCAGTTATGTTGATTTAGAAGACATAGCTGTGTTTCTGCTCAGTGATATTTGTTTTTGAAAATTTGTTGACAAACTAATTGACTTTGTTAGAAAGTAGATGAATGAGTAAGGGTTGAATGCAAAGGACACATGGGCAGTTTGGTACAGAATTAGGAATCACTTTTGATTTCAATTTTGGAATACAGCTATAGTTTATAGCCACTTAAGAAATTCAGCTTTCCTATGTGTTGAAACATCTTTTGAAGTTAGGTTCCTGAAATCTGAGATTTAAGAAACCCTAAAATATAAATGTATATAGTAGAACAAAGTTACAGTTTCTGTTCTCTGCAGGTTTAAAGATATTTTAAAATGTGTTTAAAAAACAAGACAAAACTTCATTAGGGAATTGTTATAGAAACAAAGCTTTTTTGTGTGCTGCATGTTAAATAACATAAATAAATTGCTGATAGCTTTTGCATCCGCTTTGTTAGCAGCTTCTACCTTAATAGCCTTTTAGCTTTTGTGATAAAGCAGTATGGTACCACATGCTAACTGCTTTCCTTGTTAAAAGATTTAAATGGTAGGTTTTGGATGGAAAGAAATTGAAGAAATTCTTTGAATGAAATTATTTCAGTTCTGCAGGTTGAGTATTCCTTATCAAAAAATGCCAGGGACCCAAAGTATGTTTTGGATTTTGGAATGTTTGCATAGACTTTACTGATTGAGTATCTTTAATTTGGAAATCTGAAAGGCACTAAAATTCAGATTTTATGAGCATTTTTGATTTTGCATTTTCAGATTAGTGATTTTCAACCTGTACCAGCTTTTAAATTTCTAAATATAATTTCAGCCAATTAAGGAGTAAAATGGAAACTTGTTTAATAGGGAAATAAAATGGTTCAACAGTAAATAGTGATTATCAGCTTGTTTTGGTTTTAACATTTAAAGAACTTTGTATAAATCTTCCCAGAAATCAAGGATTGTCATACACTCTTCACTGTAAGAAATCTTATGATGTGAAATTCATTGTAAATATTTATCTTAGCCAATTTGATTTTTTGTATGGAATCCTGTTTGTGGTAACCTATTAGTAAAAAGAAAAATCAAAACTATTTCAATGCTTTTATCTTTTTCCAGGCTGAACTCACGGGAATCAAATGGCGTAGGTACAATTTTGGAGGGCATGGGGACTGTGGACCCATAATTTCAGCCCCAGCCCAAGATGATCCCATCCTGTTGAGTTTCATCCGCTGTCTGCAAGCCAACCTGCTGTGTGTATGGCGTCGTGATGTCAAACCAGATTGCAAAGAGTTATGGATATTCTGGTGGGGAGATGAACCCAACCTAGTGGGTGTAATACATCATGAACTGCAGGGTAAGAATTTTGTTTTTTATTAAAAACTATTTGCATCATATTGTTTTGGAACAGTGATGAATTCTGAAGAGGTTATTAAGACTTGCTTAAGAGAGATCCCAAGTGTTTCAGGGGTGTGTCTCTCAAAGCAGCATCCTCAGTCTTAGTGCTCTGTTTCAAATTTTCTTGTTCTTTCCCAGCCATGCTGAGCCAGAACCTTGTAAACCACATTATTAAAGGAAAGTATTGTGTCCCCTGGGAGTGTTGGGGGTGGACGCATCCACTGTTTTAAGTGATAGTGAATTGTGAATACTTAGCAGGACAGTGACAGGAACAGAATTGTTTTTTCTTGGACTGTGGCTGTTGTGGTTTATTGCCAGCTGAACTCTTTGGTGGACAACTAAAGAATGGTACAGAAACTTTGTGTGACTCTTATTGAATAGAATTACAAGATATTGGATCATATTTTGAGAAAGGTTAATATAAAAGGTCTTACCTGAATTCGGTGTAGTTAATTTTCTCCTGCTTTTTTCCTGATTTTATATAATTTGATAATTCTGGGAAATATTGGCTCCATTGTTGGACTAATTTTCATCAACAGATTGCATCTGCTAACTGGAAACTGAGTGTGAGAGTTTCATTATTTAAGTTGGGGGGCGGGTGTTACACAGCGGGTTAAGTGGCTGCTGGGGAAACCTGCATCTCACATCAGTGCCTGGCTTGGGTCTTGGCTGTGCAGCTTCTGATCCAGCTTCCTGCTAGTGCATCCTGAGAGCCAGCGGATGATGACATGGGAGACTGAGATGGGAGACCTCGATGGATTTCAGGCTCCTGGCTTCAATTGCTTCTTCTGCTTACCATAGATTTACGATCAGAGGATATTTTATTAGTATTTGAATTTCTGATGAAAGTTTTTACCTCTTTACCTAAGTGTTTCTATAAAATATGTTAAGGATATTTCCTAAATGAAGACATTCTAGCCTTTAGTTAGAGTATCAGCTCTTTCTGAATTAGTTTTCTAGAGCCAACTTTTTAATATATTTCTGGACTACGCTTCATTTTATTATTTTGTAGTTGAGAATTTTCAGATAGTATTATAAATGTTTTAGTCTTTCAAAGGAAGGAGGAAAACTCTCTAATGTATATTGGAGGGTCTGTTCAAGCTTTTGAATTTGCCCAAAGGATTTTTTTGCCAACTTCTGCTTGATAGCGCCTTCCCAGCTTTTCTTGGCAGCTGTTTGTTATCTCCTGTGATATCTCCTGCCACAGCAGCAGGGGGCAGTAAACCACAGGAGGGTCCATGGGTCTTTTGAGCTTATGCCTTTCTCTTGACATTTTCAGGGTATTTGGTTTATAAATGTAGGAACCCATTTTGGCTGAGGTTAGTGATTTAGCTAGTAAATTAGCAAAATCTCAGAACTTACGTTCATTTCGAAGTCCATTTCATGTAGTTAGCAGTTAACTCAGGTAAAATTAGTTTTAGAACATCTGGATTCTGTTTATGAGAATGTTTAACAAATACCACCTAGAATATACTTAACAAATTGGTTTGTAATTTTGTTCTGAAATCTGTATTTTTAATACAGTAAGCTGCTTTAGGTTGTAAATGTTAGATTCCTTAATATTCCTTAAATATTTTTTGGTAAAGAATTAAGTAAAGATTGACTTTTAAAATTATTTTTTAAATGACTGGCATACTTAGAAAATAGAGCCACATAATAAAGATAGCAAAGAAACAAAAATCCTGATGTCTAAAAGAGTTTTAATACTTGATGGTTTTATATATTAATAAAATCGGTATACACTATTTTGTAACTCAGGCTTTATTTGCTTACCAATATATTGTAATTATTTTGTTACCAATATATTGTAATTATTTTGTTATGAGAATGATTACTTTCAGTTTTAATTTTCTTGCCTTTTGAGTTTGAAAACAGTATAAACTGTTTATCCTTTGTTTGCCACCAACAAAATATTATAGTGACAGAACAATTAAAACTTTGTTGAATGCACCTGCTCTTTTGAATATGTTGAATTTTAAATTATTACATCTAGTCATGTCAAGTGTTCATTTTTGTAGGTAAAAGTTGAAAAGAGTAATAATAATGGTTTAACCTACTATTAGGAAATATTAAACTTAATGAGAAAACTGAATGCCATAAAGACAACTTCGTTTAAAAGGAGAGAAAATAGGACAGATGATCATGAAAAAATGAGGGATGTATAGGGAGTATGCTAATTAGCAGTCATACATATTGAGGATATCTTGGAATCTGTTTCATTCTTGAATATTTTATCATTTCATTTTGGGTAAAATAAATTTTAGTAGAATCTTGCTAGTTGGCTTTACCTCAGATATCCAACCTAAGCTAATTTAAATTTAAATCATAAACTTAAACATGCAAGAGGAAACAAGTCTTAAGGTAAGCATGCTGGAAAGAGTGCTTAGATAATTCTGAGGGTAGCTTACCCATAAAGCACCTGGCTTATACTCTGGAGATTTCATAATTATGACTTCTTTGAACCAATTCAAACCTTAATACTTCATATCAAAACTATTGTTCATTCCATAAAAATAAAACATTTATTTTATACTAAAAATATAGGAGATAGAAATAAATTTTAGAAACTATCGCGATAGTACCATTAAGTGGCAAATGAAAGAATTATTCATAGTATAAAAAGCAAAGATTAACCCTTTTATCTTTTTACGTAATGAATTAGAACGATTTTGCAAGGACTACTTAAGCTAAAACCTCCTTCAGTATTAACTGTTATGGTACCATTATTTGTAACATTTGCTTTTTATAGGAACATTTTACTGTTCCTTAAAATGTTTTTAAATTATGTTATTTGGCATTTCTATTTGTTTTTATGATGTATTCAAAGTAGTGCACTACTGAGAACACCGCAGTAAAGTATAATACAAAAGCAACCATCTTGTATTTAAATGTGGGAAGTACTCTATAAAATGAAAAATTCTACAGGACTTGCACAGAAGTTTTATAATATTAATCTTTTCATTTAAATGTTTGAACGATCCATGAAATAGTCTGAGAAGACTAACATGTTTACTATCTGTCTCTGTTACTTCGATAAACACTTTAGGGTTCTTATGTGCAAAATTGCTATTTTATTTAGGACATAATGGTTCAGCACTTGGGTTCTGGATTGCTTTGAGTTTGAATGCCTACAGGGTTACTAGGTGTGTATCCTTGGTCACATTATTTAGTTTCTTTCCTTTTTTTTTTTTTTTTAAAGATTTATGTATTTGTTTGAAAAGTTACACAGAGAGAGAGGCAATGGCCGGAGCTGCACTGATCTGAAGCCAGGAGCTTCTTCGGGGTCTCCCATGCGGGTGCAGGGGCCCAAGGACTTGGGCCATCTTCTGCTGCTTTCCCAGGCCATAGCAGAGAGCTGGATCAGAAGTGGAGCAGCCGGAATACAAACCGGCACCCATGTGGGATGCTGGCACTGCAGATGGCGGCTTGACCTGCTAGGCCACAGTGTCGGCCCCCGCATTATTTAGTTTCTAGGTGTTTCAGTTTCCTCTCTTGAAGCTGGATTATGGTATTAAAAATTAATAGCACATATGGAGTAGCACTTGTAGCAGTTAGTGTATAATTGTAGCTATTGCTGCAGTTAACTTACACATCAAAATAGAACATTTTGGCGTCTCTTAAACAATTCTGTGCAACAGAACTTTAGTGCTCACTGTGGCTGTCATGTATCTCTTTTTTTAAAAGTGTACTTCTCATTTGAAATAATTATGCCTATGAGTTTTAGTGTTTGGGTGGAATAACTGGGAATAATAAAATATTGGAGCCATGAAGTTACCTCTGCTCATATGAAATGTGTCTAGATTTATACTATAAACTGCTTCATAGCAAACCTTAAATTGCATTATGAAGAAGTCAGTACCACTGTTAGAGTCCTCTAAGGTAGAGATGTAACCTTATAGCCCTCTCCCAGTAGTAAAGTCAAAGCAGGACACATGCTGAATGTGTGTATATGTTCATTACAGGTGCGTGTCTGTCTATCCTTGTGTCCATATGTATTCACATATGTAGAGATTTGGTGTAATTTACTCTTGTTGTGGTCAAAAAAGGGTGTGAGACAAGCACATAGGGGCCAGTGTTGTGATGCAGCAGGTTAAGCTGCTGCCTGTGACACTGATGTCCCCTGTGAGCACTGGTACAAGACCCTGCTGCTCTTCTTTTGATCCAGCTCCCTTCTGGTGTACCTGGTAAAGGAGCAGAAGATGGCATGAGTGCTTGGGTCCCTTTTACCCCCGTGGGAGACCTGGATGTAACTCTTAGCTGTTGGCTTTGGCCTGGCCATTATGGCCATTTGGGGAGTGAACCGTCAAATGGAGAATCTCTGTCTCTCTCTGTGTCTCTCTCCCCCTCTCTCTAACTCTGCCTTTCAAATAAATAAATCTTAAAAAAGTACAAATATAGAAATACGTGTGATGCCAAGAATGCTGTAGTAGTGTATGAGCAGTGTAGTAGATTGATTGCTTTCCAAATAGGCAGACATTCGGTTCCAGGACATTGGTTCCATCAGTGTCTTATGAACTTGAAACAGGAACAGTGTGATCAGTCTTGGATACGTAAAATGAGTCTTTATTCTTAGAGCTTGTGATCTCATTAAGGAGGTAACTACTTTATAATTTTGATGCAAAAGGATAAGTGTTGTAAGTTATTTGATTTATGGGCTCCTGAAGAAGCATTAGATTCAGCCCTGGGGAATAAAGGGAGGGGAGATGATGGGGGGCTGAGAGCTGATGCATCTTACACAACCTAGAGGAAGTTATCTAGGCTGACATGGAGCTTGTTGCAGGGAGGTGAGTAGTTTGTACAAAGGCAGTGAATGAATTGTGACAGAACAGGTTGTCTAGAGCTGAGGTTGTAAATGAAGTAGTTATAGTTAGGGCAAACTAAACAAAAAAGTAAAAAGGTAGGTGATAATGGCATGGAGTATACTGTTGCAAGGATGAGGAATTTGGTCTTAATTTGATA